CAGTAAGTATGGCTGTGATTCAGCAAAACTTTAAGTTTGAATTTCGTATAATTTTCACATTATGAAACATTATTTTTCTTTTGATTTTTCTTCAACCACTTAAAAATGTAAAAATCATTCTTAGCTTGTGAACAATACAAAAATAGGCCTTTGTATACTGACCTTTGTGTTATGTGAAAGAAGGCACACAAAAAAGACTATGTAATGTATAATTCCATTTATATATCGAGAAGCATTTATCCCTTCCTCCCTTTTCTTTTTCTGATTAACTTAGCTAAAGTTAAAGAGCCTGGCATACGATGGGTATTAAATAACTATTCTTTTATCTAAGTCCCCTATACTCTCCTTTCCCTTTCCATCATTCTTTATAAAATGGATTAGTCCATCTCTCTAAGGCATCAAAATTAAGTCTAATCTGCAATAAACAGAATATAAATGGATTGAAAGTAAATGTATAAGAACAAGTCTATAAAGAAAAGCAGCAAACATAGTGATTGAAGGTAGAGTGGTAGAAGGACTTTTATTTCTTAAACACTACTAAGTAAATTTTTCTTTAATCTGCATTATTTTTTAAACTAAGGCCTGCAGTTCCTAGGGGCATAGTGGACAGTTCACATTTTTGAAAGACCTACAGCAGCACCTGACATATGTTGAACACCATGAACTATTAACTCGAAGTAGTTCAGTTTCAACATTAGATCACACTGTTTCTTTTGTGATGGCATATCTTAGTGAAGATGGATTTTCCAGTGGTGGTTGTGATAAAAAGTAAGTACAGCCCCAAAACAACGAATAACAGGAAATGAGGGTGGCAGTGTCCAATCTGATTCCAAAGCTTGAGAAGTTGTGCAGCACCCAAAAGGCACACAAAGCCCATTAGGAAGTAACCGTGGTTACTGAAGAATGAAATAAAACATTAATTTTTTTTCCAAATGGCTACTAGGTTAGGGCACAAACAGTTATTAAATAGTTTGCACCTATTATATGGAAAGGAACTGTTATGTGTTTAGGACACCATGAAAAAATTACTGAGATGGAAGTTTGCCTTAAATCTACAAAGTGGGGAAACCTCTGCTCTTGTTTTATCTGTCCACATGTGTGTATGTGTGCACAAGCACACACATGCACGTACCCAGTTCCACTCAATCATGATAGTCAACATAACTCTTTTTGTTGTACTTACCTCAGTGCTTGAAGCAACTAAGGAAAATTCACGAGAGAGGTCAAGCTTAATGCCATCAAAATTTATTTCCGAAGGCCTTTCAACTGGGTCAGCACTGAAAACATAAGATGGTCTAGGCACCCCATCCTGATTTAAGTTAGATTCCATTCTGCAAGAATAACAGTAATTTCTTTAGATAACCTCCATAAATCAACATACAAGCCATCCATTGTTTAAAATGTCTGTGAGTCCAGCCCATTACTTTCTGCCATACAGCTAGATTTCCAAAAGGAAAACATTGGACTTCATCTATAACATGACGACTCGTGGAAAAGACAAAAGATCAAATTATTTAGACTCTGAAAAAACTAACATTGGACACAACCTATCACTACTATTCATATGATCCACACACCACCAGTGCATGGGTAGATTCATCCAAAGAGATTTCATGAGTAAAGATAATCCAGAAAGTATGATAGTATAAAACATTCAGCCTCCACCTGATATCCTCTAGAAATCAAACAGTGAGGATGGAGTAAATTATAACCTTCTGTTATTTTCGTTGTTTAGTGTCTTCTGAAGAATGTTACTTATAGACTTTGTAATGTTGCATTTAGAATTTAAAGTCAGTTATCTGGACAATTACTTTCAATTGAATTCTTCTAAATAAAAGTAAATAACGTATATGAACACATTTGAAACAGTACCTGATACATCACAGGTCTTAAAAATTAAGTTGAACATGAAATAATGCATCAGTAAACTATTACAACTAAATTAAACACCAAGGTACTAAATTTAAAGGTAAACCCAGAGGTAACCTTCACTGATAAATTAACATTCAAATATTTACTGCACAATACCAGGGAGAAAAGAAGCGAGCTCTCTACTCTTTGAACATTATGAAATATCCAGGACAGCGACTGCCAACCAGGGTTCCTGGCTCAAGAAGGTAGTTAGTAATGGGCATCCGCAGACATTAAGTAAATGAGTCAAAGATAGTCCCTGTTGTTTACTTCTTCACAGCAGGCCACAAACATTACTTCAAAAATCTACTGAGGTGTGAAACTCAAATTTTCACACATCCACTTACTTTATTTATTTTTAATTAATTAATTAATTATTTTAGTGGAGGTACTGGGGATTGAACCCAGGACTTCATGTATGCTAGGCCATGCACTCTATCACTGAGCTACACTCAACACCTCCCCATATCCATTTACTTTAAATATAGCCAAAATACGCTTATTTTTAGCCATATAGAGCCTAACTGGTTTGTATATCCCATGAAACTGCACCCATCATCTGCTAGCCACAGATAACATCCAGGACTATGAAGACCCCAAGCCTCTGACACAGGGACTCCCTACTGTGCTGCTGAGCAACATCACTCCCTCTCCCAGTCCCCTGGCCCCTCCCAGTTCCCTTGCCCTCTTCCCCTTCTAGGTGATGGCCCTTCACTCTAGTCTCTGGAAGGTCTCATACTGCGGGCGACTTTCCTAGCATGCAGTCCTGTCAGTGTTACCCCAGTAAAGCTCCTATGTGTTGCTGCCGCCTTGTGGTGGTATCTTTTTCCTTGCTCAGCCCTGAAACTCCCCAAACTCAATACAATAGGGCTGTTTTCAATTTTCTGTTTTCCCTAAATTGCGAAAAGACTTAAGGAAGTTATACATATGCTTTCAACAAAACCCAGCAAACTATAGGATCAACCAACCATATAATTAAGCAAGTTTAACACCTTCACTGTTTTTTTAATTGTACAATCAGTGATGTAATCAAATGAGAAAATTACTTAAATGAAGTCCAATAGAATACTTCAAACATGTAATTTATGGATGAAAATTAAGCAAAAAGGTAACTGATAGAATAAAAAAAACACTCATCTAGCAGAACATGAGAGAAAAGTTTGCAAAACATGAAAGTACTGGCTTGACATTTCATATCTCAGATTTCATAGAAATGTCCAGGAAACAGGGAGGTGTCATTCTTTGCCTTCAATTAATTTTTGGTTAAAAAAAAGTGTTGATAAATATTTTATGAAGTCAGTAACTTAGAAAGAATATTGCACCTCCTAAAAAAGAGCAAGGTTATAGTAGTTTCTACTTGCTTATATGTTCAGTTTTCAATGAATAAACTGCCTCTTAACACTTAAAAAATTGTTGAGATATACAGTCACTTCCTGTACTTTCAGTTAACTTCTAATTTTGTGTGGCCTCCCTGACTAGAAACTTCTTGTGGTCAAGGACCACGTCTTATACTACTCTGAATCCCTGACAACAAATTCAGAGATTCATGTAGTGATGAAGATTCTCTGCATAGTGACTTAAATAATAATAAATAAAGTCCTCTATAACCCCCCAAAAAATTATTTGGCCCTACTCTTTAGAGATAATATCTTTAGCAACAGCAAGGTTCAAGACCTCATTTGGAAAGGCTGTTCCCACAACTGAGAAACTGTATCTTTTATCATCTCGCCAGTGAGATTCCATGATTGAAGGCTGGTGAAAAATAACTGCTGCTGAATGCGGTTTCTGAATGTCATCCACAAAATACAGTCTGAAAAATGTCTTCACTGTGGGGAAGATATAGCTCAGCGGTAGAGTGCATGCTTAGCATGCATCAGGTCCTGGGTTCAATCCCCAGTACCTTCATTAAAAAGTAAATTAATAATAATAAACCTAATTGCCTCCCCCCACCAAAAAAATAAATTAAAAAAAATTTTAAGTCTTCACAACTAATGAGTCCTTTATATTATTTTGGAACCTTAAGTCTTAGATCTTGTACACCTAATAAAACGTATACACTGCTATGCTGCTTCTGGGTAAACTGCTACCTTGTTTTAAGAACAAAAACAAATCTGAATTTAACCATCTTGGGGATTAAAAACAAGCTAATCCATAAGGCGTGAATTTTTGTCAACTAGTCCTTCTGCAAGGAATATTAGAGTGCTGCACCAGGCAGGAATCACTGAAAGAAAAAGTAGGAGATGGGGGAAACCTTCCAAACTGGGGCATGACAGCACTAGCCACACACATCCCCTTCCGCTTAGCACTACAAAGCTCAAGAAGGGCGAGCCCCAGGCACTGGCAGCAACATGGGTATTAACTGCAGACTGCCACCACAGGAATCCCACAAAATGAGAGCATGCCACTTGCCGAGCGAACTGCTCACCTTAGGGATTCAGGACGCTAGATCTGGCAATAACAAAAGCAACAATAATAAAAATATTAACGATTGCAAACACTTGGTGCCTACTATATACCGGCACTCTTTCTAATAGCTTTATATATTATCATTTTATCTTCATAATAGCCCGAAGAGGTAGGTTCTATCATTAACCCCTGGTAACAAACGAAGAAACAGGCCCAGAGAGTTTAAAGACGTTGCCTTGCGTCACACAGCTAATAAGAGGCGGCGGACACAGATTAAACCCTAAGCCTCAGCTTTCCAAAGCGCACCCGGTGCCCAAGGCGTCCTCACTGCTCCACAACCCAGTTCCTAAGTAATTTCAGGGGCGTCACGAGCCCCGTCGGAAGGTGCGCACGCTGCCTGAACGGTTTCCCCCACTCACTTGGTGTGTGCAGAGTCTCCCATCGCCTTCCTCGCACCCTCACCCGCAAACGTCGTCCTGCCAGCCCGACCAGCGAGCAGCACAGACATATTTTCCTTTTCAAATTCAAACAATGGCGGCTAAGGCCCCGCACTGAACGCTGGGAGTGGGCGGGGCTTCCGGGCGCAGCCGACGGCCGCTGTGAGCTTTCCACCAGCTCCCGGGAGATGCTTTCAAATCTGGGAGGCGGGTCTCGGAATGCCGGGCGACCAATGGGCGGAGGCGGCCGGTGGGCGGAGCTTCCCGCGGGGCTCGGCGCGTCTGGCAGGGTAGGACCCTGCCTCGCGACTGCGGTGGGGACCGGGACCACCCTCTGCCGATGGGACGCCGATCTCGGGTTCCGTCCTGGAGACAATAAAGGTGTGGCGAAGGTCCCGAGGTGAGGCCGGTGCCACTACACTTAGCCCCGCGAGTCCCCTAGGAACCGGTCGAGAAATGGCCTTGTTCCTGCGGGCCGGAACGGGCTCCGCATCCGGAGAGTCTTAGAACGAGCGCTGTCAGCACCCGGAGGGTCACTTCCTTCGCTGCATGATCCTGCCTGTCGTCCACAGTGGTCCTCATGAAAGAAGTAAATTTTTCTCAGAATAAATTTTCATAAACATTTTTGGTTTTGGGGTGATTTTTTTTTTGCCTTCCTGAAAATACAAAGCAGCTACTGCTGTGAAGCGCTGTTCTGTGACAATCTATCTTCCATGCAAAGGCAAGGTGTTTGCAATGCCCAAAATGTAAGTGCCAGTACATCTCTTCTTCTTTTAAAGTGGTCCTCTTCTTTTGAATGTAGTGTTATTACATTCCAATGACAAGTATTTAGACCGTCTCTTCCTGCTGTACTTCATTTTAAAGAAAAGTAACTGCTAACGTTAATGGAGCGTTTACCCTGTGCCAGTCAAGATCTAAGCATTTAAAATGGATCGTCCCACTGATCCTGAGAACAACCTTTTCAGGTAGGTCCTATTATTATACCCTTTTCATAGATTCTGAGGAAACTGAGTTCCTATGTTTAAGCATTTGCTGAAAGGCATATGGCTATTAATGGAGGTGGAATTTTAAACTCTCAGCTGAATGATTTCAAGACCCTGCCTCTCACATGTGGTCTCACTTTCAACTATTTTAATAGCGTTTGTAGAATAGTAACTGGTTTGAAACTTACTGTCTTCCTTTCCTTATTTTATATTTATATCTCCCATAACCTCCCCCTTCCCAATCTAACTTCCCACTGTCTCCTCATTCAGTTTCCCTTCTTCCCCTACAAAATAGTCATATTTGAGGTGCACCAGTTTGGAGTAGAGAAGAGAATGCGAGACCAGGAGTAAAAATGAACAGAGAAAGTAGGTGTGAAAGGGAAGAAAGGAGGAAAGGTAAAATAAAAACTGTGTTTTACTGTCTAGCTGGAACTCAAGTCCTCAGGGTCCCCTGTGTCAAATTCTCCGTTGCTCCTCCAGACAAGTCTATGGCTAAATCTGCACTTCTGGCCATACCTGGTAATGCCTTTATTGCTTTTACTAACTGTTACTCATTTCCAGCTTTTGAGCCCCCCAGGTGCTACATTTAAATACTTATTGAAAACCTGCTATGTGCCAAACAGTAGGCCAGGAGTTAGTGAAACAGTGGAGAAGAGTGAGCAAAACAGACACTCACCCTAAAGGAGCTTGTATTCTAATAACTGGGAACAAAATTACAAATGCAAATAATTGAGAAATTACAACTGTACTGAGTGATTTGAAGAAAATGGTTCTTAGAGCTGTAAGACTATGTCACAGGGGAACCTGAGCAAATAATGTTTAATCTGGGTCTCCAAGGGTCTTCAGGCAGTAACTAGGTTTAAAAAAAAGAGAGAGAAATAAGCACTCCAGGTGTAGGGAACATAATACCAGGCACAGGGGAAGGATAAATACAAAATCCAGTAGGTTCTCTGCCTTATTTTATTCTAGGTCCCAGAAACATTCTGCATAGTTTAATGTTTCATACACACAGTTGTTTCCACCTTGAAACACCCTTCATTTGGCGTCTGAGTCAACAAAATGTCACTCTCTTGTTGTTTACTCTTAACCTCACTGGCCACCCAGCTTAGTCTCCTTTATCTGTCTCAAAATTATGGGAATCCTCAGAACCTGATCCTGAGCCTGCTTTTCTCTCCTCTACAGTCTTCTTCTTGGCAACCTCATCAACACCCTTGGATTTAATTATCTTTATCCTGGTGACTCCTAAGTTCCTTATCCTCCCCAAACCTCTCCTCTGAGCTCCAACCAGATGCAAATATCTCATTATCCTCTTAACATTTCCACTTGGATGTGTAACAGATATCTCTAACTTAACATATTCAATATGGGACCTTGATTTTTCATTCCAAAACCCAAATTCTCTCCTCCTCAATCTGTATCTCAGTAAATGATACCACTGTGTATCTACCCAGTTATTCAAGACAAAGAGTCATCTTTGAGTCCTTTTACCTCACCATGCTCATCCAGTTCATAAACAAATTTATTTGTTGTACTTTTGTGTTGTAAGTGAAATAAATATTCCTTTCCCTTTTCGTAGCCCAGACGACAGCCTACCAACTGGTCTTCCTGCTTCAGGTCCTGACCCCTCCATTCTTTATAGAGCAGCCCAGCCAATCTCAAAATGGAAATGATTATGTCAGTTCCTGGCTTAAAGCCCTTCAGTGACTTTTTGGAATAAAACGTATTTATATTGTTAAGTGAAGGAAAAAGGTGTAAAAGAATACACTAACTTTTGTGTAAGAAAGAGAAATGGGTCTACAAACTTAGGTATATATTACCATATTCACATTTTTGGCTTATTTTTGAAGCTAGAAATTTAGAAACTATAAATGAGAAAATTAATTGAAAATGGTTATTATCTATAAGGCATGGGAATGTTTTGCAAGGATTAGTGATGGGAGTGTGGCTTCTCTGAGTACCTTTTCTGTTAAATAGAGTTTTGCTTTTTTAAAAAATTAAATCTTAACCAATGGAAATAAAAACAAGCCCTAAAATATAACACAAAGAAAGAAATGAACTTACCTGTATTATCAGATTGCTAGCATAGCCACACAAAGAAAGAGAACTTGTTCAATTAATTTGGGCACAGTACTCTGTACACTGCAGTTAGCAAGTGGAGGATATGATATAGGAGCAAAAAGAAATGCCAAAAAAATCAATAACTTGGCTTAGTAGATTTGATGTTGGAAGGGGTATTGGTGTAGTAATTTTGAAACTATTATTTACGTGTTATAGGACAAAGCAAATGAGTAAATGTATTCATGTTGTTTGGTACCAGGGTTCTCACTGTGGGAGAAAGGAAATAACAAATATGGAATGATAGAAAATAAGGAAGAACCCCATGAAATAGGTAGTAGAATGAAGTTGTGATTTTTAAAAAAAAATCTTAATTGTGTCCATTGAGAGGGTCTGGAGGCCTGGAAGCCCTGACCGCCCCATAACAATCAGCACCCCCAGGACCAAGCCACTCAAATGGTTTCTAAATACCATTTATCACTAAAAGGAACCAGATCTCCTTGGAGAGAAGGCTGATTCCAGATCTGAAGGAGGGAAATTGCAAAGTGAGCCCAGAATGTTCTTATCAGGAAGCAAAGAAGTCCGTAAAGATTAATGGGGTCCTTTGAAAAGGACAGTGGACCTGGCCTACAGGGGCTCCCACTGACTGTGTTTGGAACAATTTGAGCATCAGAAAAAATAATGATGGTAACAGATTAAAGCAGATCTAATTTTTTTAAGTTCTCTTCATGGTAGGGGGTGGGGAATAGGGGAAAAAAGGACTTAAAGTGAACAGTGTTTCTTTACACCAGAATGTCAGTTAATGAGTACAAAAGGAACAATAAGTTAAAAATCCCCATTTTGCAACTCCCAATGTAAAGACTGACATAGATAAAGCTTATTAATGAATGCTAAAACGATGGATAAAAGATCTAAACCATTGGCGAAATGGTCTTTGAGGAGCAGGATATTAACACTATCTCAAAGAATCACCCTAAAGTTCAATTCTTAATTAAGGGGAAAGGTAATTTTTAAAACATAGAGATTTATTTATTAGACATACCTTCACCAAGTGAGGAAACTTAGTGTCACCAATAATGAAGCAATCTGTCACCTGACACTGTTTCTGCCAGAAATGTTTAACCTGAATCTAATCACGAGGAAACAATCAAAAAGGGGGTGGGGTGGGGGGGGTGGAGAATGTAGAGCATTTTACAAGACAACACACCTAGGCTCTTCAAAAATATCAGTGTTAGGGAAAAAGAAAATCAAAAGATGGAGGATTGCTTTAGTCAGGAGACAGTTGTTGCTAAATGAAATTTATGAAACTTGTCTGGTTCACAGATCTTTAAAAGCAACTGCAAAAACCTTTTGTGGACAATTGAGGGAATTTAAATATGGACTACATAATAGATGATGCTGAATCAGTATTAAATTTTGGGCACGTGATAATGTGTGACCATGTAGAAGAATGTCTTTGCTTTTGGAAAATGTTTGCCTCAGTATTTAGCAGCAAAGTGTCAGTGTCTGTAACTACATACCTTCAAAAGATTTGGCAAAAAATTAAAAAAACAAAATACAAAGAACGTTAAGGAGAACAAAAGAATTGAGAACAAGAGAGACTAGAACAAAAAGCAAATGCCACACAAAAGTAATAATTTGTGGATCTAGATAAAAAGTTATAATGATGTACGTTGTGCCACTCTTTCAATTTCTAAAAATAGCTTTGAGATTTTCTAAAATAAAAAGAAAAGGGAAAAAAAAAAGTCCAGTTCTTTACAGTGGCCAACTAAACCCTGTAGATCAGGCGCCAGCCAACCATACTCCTCTCTTAACTTGACTTTGTGCAGTAAGTTGATCTGCCCTGGGTACCTCAAACACACTAGGCTCTTTCCAGCGTATATGAAACTTTGCATGCTTTCCTTTCACCTGAATTCTCTCCTGCCCATTTATCGTGTGGCTCACTTCTCTTCCACCTTTAGATGTCATCTCTAATATTACCATCTTAGAGAGGCTTTCTGTTCACCTTATCTCAATGGCCATCTTTTTAATTTGCAGGCTCAATTCTATTTTTATACTTATTATAGCCAGCAGTTGTTATATTTTTATAATAATCATCATATGTCTGGTTTTGGTTGTCATTGTCGCTATTCTCCACCTCCTGAAAGTTAAGTTCTCTGAGTACAAGAACTGTGTTTCTCTGGGTCGCTGATGTAGCCTTGATGACTCTGCAAATACATGGTGATCAGACAAATAATTGTTGAACAATGAATGAAGGTTGTTGTGGCTGGGGTGGAGATAGTGGAGAGGGATGGGCCAGGGCCAGATCCTACAGGACTTAGTCAGCTAAGTTACTGATTTGGATCCTTATTCTAAGAACAATGAGAAACCAATGAGCTGTTTTAAGCATGAGCACAATACAATACAATTTGCCTTTCTGTTTTAAAAAGGTTAATCTGGAGTGAAGGAATGGAGGCTGCCAAGGAGAATGCCATTGAACCAGATAGCAGGCTCTTGCAGACATCCCAGCAAGAGGTGATGCTAATGTGGACTTGGGAGATGGCAGAGCAGTCGCAGAAAACTGGACGGACTTCAGAGGTAATTTTTCCTACATTTTCCATTTCAGTACCAGTAACTGGGCTTTCCCTTAGAAACATAGAACCAACTTGACTGGGAGATGCTTAAGATTTAGTCCCCATCCCAAAGAATTCCATCTGTCCCCTTGAAGTGAACATTAGCATAAGATGAAAAAATTGTTAAGTTATGTCAAGCTCATTTCCTGCCCTGGTCACAGCCTCTACTGATAGTAATAGCTAACTTTCTATGTGTCAGATACCATTCTAAGCATTTTATACTTACTCAGTCCGATAATAACCCTGTGAAGTATTTTGTTATTAGTATCCCACATTTAACAAAGGAGACAACCTGAGACGTGGCACTGTTAAGGAATAGTAAAGACATCTACTGCATGGAGGTTGTGGGTTTAATTTGGGTGATACTTGTAAAGTACTTATTAAAGTGCCTGGCACATGTTAAGTAATAACTTCTTGTATAAATAGTAAACAAAGGAATTGGAATCTGGGTGGTTTGGCTCTAGAGTCTGCAATTGACCACTGCCTCTTACACCCCTGGGATTCTATTAAAAGCAGACTGAGTGCCTAGCTCCTGCTGCAAAGCCAATCACAAGACTAACATGATTTTTCAGTCCGCGAACTGAGTATGTATTGATTTCAAAGGTTTGAATAACAGGTTTAACAAACATTTATCAAGCACTCGCTCTACAACAGATGTCTCTACCCTTAAGCCTTCGGTCTAAAGCAAGCCTTACTCAATCTGTGATTTCAAGAGAGAATTAATACCTTATTCCTTAAGACACTTGTATGTAAGGCATTAATTTCTCTCCTATGCCTCTGGAATGATGTTATTTCTATACCATCCTGAGAAAATAGTCACACATACAAATCATTTTTTATGTCCTATGGTTTATATGAGGAAATCTATGCACAATTTCAAAACAGTATGACAAATGTTATGATAGAAGTGTACGAGGAGTATCAGGAGCAGAGCTAGCACAGCTTATGAGTAACAGCTCTGAAATCAGATTTGAGTTGAATATAAGCTTAGCCACTTACAGGAAGTGACTCTAGCAAGGATATTTAACTTCTTAAAGTTTCATGAAGTTGTAAGGATTAAAATAGCATGGGTGAGTTATTTAGGTACAGTCCTGACACATAGTATGTTTCATCATGGTTGTTATTTTTATTGTCTGCTAATTAAGTCACTAGGATGCAAGCTCATGAGTGTGTCTGTCTAGGACCACTATAGCCCTGACACCTAGAAGAGTGTCTTGCATATAACAGCCATTGAATAAATATTTTCTTATTTAATAAAAGGCATCTACCAAGGAATATTTCTTTCCTTTTTTTTTTTTTTTGCAGGTAAAACAATTTTATTTCACAGTTATCTTTAAAACCACAAAGACACTATGTTCTCCATATAAAAACATTAGTACAGATAGCTATACTTTCTAGAAAATGATTGTATAGACCCTCTTAAAGAAAAATGCACCCATTTCAGTAAAGTTGCTTGGAAAAACCTCACTTCTGGACTGATTCCTAAAACATACAATTCCACCATTCTGCATCTTTTGGTTCAAAGTATAGATTATTGTCCTCAGTATGTGTTCCTGCATTCATACATGTTTGATAATCCACATATAGACTGGTCTATCATTTAATGTTCCATTGGTTCATCAGCCTTTTCTACAGGTTCATCAGCAGGTTGAGCAGGCTGTGCCTTTCTCTGGGGTCTTTCTTCAAGACCTTCCAGGAACGGAGACACATCATCATCATCATAATTGTAAACTCTAAGTCTTTACCAGAAGTTCCAATGGAAACATTCTTTGTAATTAGGTTCTGTCCTGCAGGAAGTGTCTCCCATAAGGCACGCAGACCATGCTTAACCAGGTCATTCAAATTGCACTCCATAAACTCTGACATATGTCTCTCCAAGTAAGTACGAGCTGATTGAGAACGGGCTCCAATAGACATAGCTCTGCAGTCAAAATAGTTAAAAGACGGACAGGTTTGGAAAATGTGAGGGCCCATATCACTATAACCAGCAATAAGCAGCCCAGCACCATATGGTCTCCGGCCATATCGTTGCGTCAGTATCTGGGTTTTGCTTCCAATTAGAGATACAAGACGAGACACAGGAAGAGGTCTGTCAAATACAAATCTGGAATCCAGACACTCCTGGCACATAAAATTACATAAAAGTCTAGCATCAGCAGTAAGTCCAGCAATTGAAATACCAATATGGTTATCAACATGGAGAAATTTTTTCTGATGAGCTGCAAGTTCTGACTGTGCTGTCTTCAGTGCAACCAACACTGCATGAGTTTTTGACTTCAGACCAACTGTGGCTGGACCTTGTTTGACAGCTTCCATTGCAATATTCGATTTGATGAATCCTGCCCTGAGGGCTCCAAACAGTAACATCATTGTCATACTGGTTGCGAAACATGGTTCCCACAGGAGCCTGGCCGTGACCTCCTGTGAACCTGCGGATCAAGGAGTGGGATCAAGGAGCGCTTGAAATATTTCTTAAAGTGGCATGTAGGTTCAAATGAATGAATGGAATTCGCCATTGAATTGCAGAGGGAGGCCATTCCAGTCAATGAAAACATATGAGGCAATGAGGAAAAAAGACAAGATGGCAGGTAGGGAATAGCACAGTGGTAAGAGTATGAGGTCCTGTATGTATGAGGTCTTAGGTTCAAACCCTAGTACCTCCATTAAAAAAAGTAAATAAACCTGATTACTTCCCCTGCTAA